ATTAAACATTCCCGCAATAATAAAGATGACACCTTTTGCCTTGAATTCTCTACATGGCCCGGTAGCCGAGCTAAGAAGGGCCAAGGGGTGCCGGTGAATGCTGATGTTTTAGGTACTACTGAAGGTACCTACCCACCCCTCCCCTCGATGTGTTGCGATCCAATAATTGCACCCTCCTGCGCCGAGCTATTCCACAAGATTCGTGATCATTGCGATCTAACGATAGTGAATGAAGTTTGCAGCGTGGCTAGCATGAAACGTCCTCATTAACCCGGCACCGCATGGGCTATTTCCGTACCCACATCAGCCTGGGGGGGGGGGGGGGGGTCGGATCCGACCCCCCCTGTTATCTCGAGAACCAATGGTCGTATCGAGCCCCGCGAGGCGGCGTTCGAAAGGTCTCTACGAGACCTTCCCAAAGCACTCTTAAGATTTTAAGATTGAGGTCAACTTTCGGGTCAAGGTCAGGTCAAAGGTCAAATTCAGGGGTTTTGCATGATTACGCTTACGGACAGCGGAATCGATAGCTGCTGCTCGAAACTCACCACAAATGACCTCAAAGACCTAGTGAAGGTACCATGTGCGTATAGGGGTCATACTAAGTACGGGTCAAGGTCAGGTCAGGTCACGAAAGGTCACGGTTTTCACTTTCTGCTACATGGGCGTGCGACACATGTTTAATGGCTTATTTTTCACGCCAAATCCGATGGTAATGGTTATATGTGACCCCAAGTCACTGTGCTGGTGATAAGTGTGCATTGAAAGCATAAAAAATCGTTTATTCCATACATAACTAAACGAGGGCTAAGAAAAAAGTCAATTTTTCAACTTTTTATTTTTGACATAAAAATGCACTTCTAGACGAGCTTTGTCCCAGGAATCTAGTGGTGCCATTTGTTTTCACATGCGATGTTCAGAAGTGCCTCTAATTCGCAAAAATACTTATGACGTCACCATGCCCTATGCATGTTGGAGCTATTTTTTACAATTTGGGGGTCAAAAATCAAGACAGAAAGTTGAAATTTGGGACATCTAATGTTCTAATAGAGCTCTATAACATGCATTCCGTTTTTTTTTTAATTCTCAAAATTTTGGATTTTATTAGCTGTTTTCCAAAAAATATAGTTTTTTGAATTTTTAGGGGTGAAAAACGCATTTTATGGAAAATCCGAGATAGCCATTTTAAAGAACTCGTTGAGCTGCGTCTTTTCCTGTCCTTAATTTGCAATTTACTTAAAACCTCGATTTTTGGCGATTTTTAAACATTTACCATTTTTTGACTGAAAACGCCATGTAGCTACATCACTAAAATCGATATATCTCAAACATTAAAAAAAAAAAATCTTAAAAATTGCACAGGAGACGTCAAATTGATGGGGGAGAAGGTATGCGAAGTTTCAAGTTGATAGCGCAAGCGGTTCATGAGTTATTCAAGAAAAATGGAGGGGGGTCGGATCCGACCCCCCCCCAGGCGGTCGCGGGTTAACGTTTGATAGTTTAGCAATGAAAATTATGATCCAGCCGGTTTACTCGTATATGTCGTAGTAATGCCTCGCTTCCGTCGCTGTCATCCTTTGTCGTCTGTTGGCAATAAAACGCTTTCATTGAGTTTTTTCGGCGGCTTTCCTGTTTGCTTTTAATGCCTGCATTTGAGCAATATTAAATCTTTAACATATTCAATTCACTAACCGGTTTCTATCATAATACGTGCGTGCGAAAATGAGAGACGTGAGTCAGTCAAAATGAGCATAACTGTAATTTAGTCGGACGGAAACAAATGAGTGCTGCGGTAGATTCGTTTGAATAACGGCCTTGTGTTGCAGTGTCATTATCAACGGTAACATTTGAGACGTTATGAGACGGTTTTAGACAGTTTACGACAGTGAGGCGGTTTTGGACGATGAGACGATTTCGGACGGTAAGACTGAATAACACAGTGAGACGGCCACACTGATCGGACATCCCACCAAGCGCACAGCAGCAGCGTCGCCGTTCAGATGGGCTGCAGGATGTAGTCGTGGTAGGCCCGGGTCTGCAGCCACAGGTGCAGCAGCCCCTCGTGGTGCTGGATCACCTCCACCAGCACGAACATCAGCGCCTTCTGCCAGCGCGGCGTCATCAGCTCGTAGACGGGCAGCGACATCACCAGCAGGCACAGACGCTCCGCCGCGCTGGTGAACGTCGATAACTCGTTGGTGATGAACGGGTCCAGAAGCTGGCGTAACTCGTCCATCACCTCGGCGCCGGCGTTCAGTTGCTGGGCGCGCTTCTCGAGGAGGACGTACCAGCGCGCGGGCACCACCGCCGGTTTACTGGCGGCCACGCGACGCGCTACATCCAGTCGCATCTGCTGCAGCGCCGCGTCTGCGTCGGAGCCCATCTGCACGCTGAGGTACTTATGCGCCATTCTCTGTCGGCGCTCAGCGTCTAACCGAAGCACTCTGTGGTCGTAGATGTGGAAGAGTCGCTCGCGTGTGTCGGCGCACACTCGTTGTAGCTGACTGAGCAGTCGCTGGGCGTCCAGTGAGTCGGAGCGCCGGCTCATGTGCAGCAGGTGCCGCTGCCGGTGCTCGGCGCGCTTCACCAGCTGCCAGGGAGGCGGATGCGCTGGCGGTTGACCAGCCGCCCGCTCGCCGCCCTCCGTGCCGGCCGTCAGCTCCTGCCAGGTGAGAAGACCTCGCGCGTGTGCGTCGCGTTCCTCCGGAGTCTCGGTGGGCGCCAGCGAGCGCCGGTCGACCAGCGTGGCGCGGCGGCCGCCTGCTGCCAGCGTTCCCCTCCGCTGTAGGTGCTGGGGCTGTGGCTTCCCACAGCTGGCCGGCCGCCGGCACGACCAGGGCGAGGCGCCGTCAGCGTGCAGACGCTTCTCGGCCGGCAGTAGCGGCTCCAGCCAGTCGAAGTCCTCGCGTCGGATCAGCCGCACGTAGTGCAGCGGTAGTGGTTCGTGGCGCAGCAACCAGCCGAGACGGATGCTGCGCAGCGAGCGCAGCACGGCACCGATCACTCGCAGCTCGCCCACGAACTCGGCGAGCCGCTTCCGGGGCAACTCGGCGGCAGAGGCGACGCCCAGCAGGTCGCGTCGGTGGGCGCTGCTGATGTTGGCCGGCAGCGGGTGCAGGATGCGGCGCGGGTCGGCGGCGGCCTCCTCGAACTCGTCGTCGAGGATGTTGGAGCGCAGGATGTCCGGCAGGCGCAGGTGCGACGGGTAGGACTTGGGCGAGTCGAGGTACTCGAAAAGGTGCTGGCCCGAGCGCATAGCGGCCAGCATGTGCCGCGAGTGTTTCATGCATTTGGCGATGCTCGCGAAACCGGCGGTCTGGTAGAAGCGGTTCGGGTTGATGGGAATGGGACTCGGTGGCTTGTAAAGGGCGCCGTAGTCTGGGCTCTGGCCCTTTAGCCCCTCAGGTCGAGGAGTCATTGCGAAGTCGATACAGATGTGCTGTAATCACACAGTCGCACCCGATTCGCTAACAATGAATTTCACATCAATGCTTTAATTTTGTTGATTGCTGAAACATGATGCGAACGTTTGATTGAGAAACATCTGATGTCAGGTAAGTAAGGTCGAAGACTAGGCTCGTAACTACTATACCCCATTCCCCTTCATCCCTTCCCATCCCGTTGAACCCAGCGTGGTGCGATGAAAACGCCCACAGAAAATGTATTCCTTTCTTTGGAAATCGGGCAGTTGATTTTTGCTACAGTAACAAATGATGTAATTTTCTCGGATTACTCCTTTCATAAAGATGCAGAACGCTCACTTTCATTAGCGAAGTAATCTTGATCGCCATCATCATTAGGGATTGTTTCGATAAAATGGTTATCTATTCCAGCCACAAGACCGAGCCGAGGCATTGATTACTAGAGAAACGGGGAAATTTGTAAAAGATGACTTGATGCATCGCAGATAACCAGTGGCATCCATCGGAAAAGCCAATAGCTTCGCAGTTACCGTGCTTAGAGGGCCATGCAAGCTGTACCTAATGTCAACGTCCTACATCCGGTGACGCCCTTCGCCCCCGTAGTGCGGGGGATTTTTTACCCGCCAGAATAAGACGGGTACGAAAAATAGCCGTCAGTTGACCTTTCGCCTTAAATATAATCTTCTAAGACTTAACGAATCTGCTCGTGAAGCAAACAGTCAAATGTCAGCCTTGGAGTCACGGATATAAAATGTCACGGCCCAGTATCAGCCGCCGCTGGCAAAGGTCACGAGAAGCCGCGGAATAAGGTAATACGGCGTCATCTCGGTTCTGGAAGCTCGGAGCATTCGACTCTTCAGCCTGGTTTGTATTCAGCTGCGTTCTGTGGTCGAAATTTGTCGGACGCTGCGCATACCAATGTCGGTGGGGTCTGGCCGGCCAGTTACCAGCAATCTAGGCCGGTCGGACCTCCATTTGACCGGCAATATGGCTCGGCAGAGGACTGCCAACAGCGGCCATGGCCCGATCCACTCTCTCTCTCCCTCTCCCCCTCGCTCTCGCCGAAATTGTGGGACAGAGGTGCAGGCCGACACGTAAAAAATGATACTCAGACTTGCAACACCGGTATACTTTTACCGCTATCTATATATTAGCATGCTCATTATATAAATAACCAAATAGTCCACTCCACACATCATCACACGACTTATTAGCAACGACTGCCGACAGTTTATACCGGGCGGGGATGTTCGCTGGGCGGGCAGGCCGTGTCCCAGAGGGGGCCGCAGCGTTTGTCTGCGGGACGGTGTGGGTGGGTGTGGGGAGGATAATCTGCGAGGGGGCGGAGGGGGGGGGGAGGGGCTCATCAGCCCGATTGGTTTTGGCTGATCGGTGCTCTGGCGGCTGCCCAGACTGGGCGATCCGACACGGTACCGGGGACAGGGACGATCGGCCTCCCCCTAGGAGGGTGGGGGGAGGAGGACGAATATCTGCCGACAGTGTCATCGAAAAAAGACACTAAGTGGAATATTATGCGCGAAAAAAACAGAGTCCAAATCCATCCTCAGAAATGCATCAAACATTATAATGAAGGCGTTTATTGACTCACAAGTACGTATAACATTATCGGTCGGTGCTCCACCAGCACAGGCGTACCTTCGTGCTCGAGACTGAGACCTGAGGCTTTCCCAACGCTCTTCAACTCGAACAGGCAAACCCATCAACCTGATGACAAGCTTACACACCGCACAGCATGAGAGACGGTACGCGCTGTGAGCGATACGGACACCAACCCACTCACACACAAATCACACGCACATCGTGGCAGGAAAGGCGATATATACTGTGAGCGATAGGAACGCTAACCCACGCACACACAAACTCGCACCGCCAGCGGTGCACTGTACATGTTGTACAAATATTCCGTGTTTAACTTCAGTGGTAATTTTGTCACATTACAGCAGGCTGCATGTTTTACGAAGTCAATGTCTAAAATAAGCACAACAGTAGCGTTTTACGTGTTTCTGCAAAACAAACCACAGTTTTGATTATGACAGACGCTTACAGCTAGTCAGTAGAGTCGAGGCAGTGCCTTGAAATACGCTGTGAACTGTTTCCTTCACGAGAATAGCGGCAGTACACGTTCAATCATCATCGAGATGTCACACATGGTCATCGATATGACGTCACATGTCATATCTGTCAAAGTTACACATAGACGTCATACATTTCCGTTTATGACGTCATATTTTACAGTTTATGACACCCGGCCCCAACAGCAAGCTCGTAAAGCGCAACAGAACAATGTTTTCATGAGCTGCTATGCACGTCTACTGCAGTGCTAAGTGCAGTGAACACCAAACCATCCAAATACTTGGGGACTGGCGGTCGAAAGCTCGCCGTCAAAATGCGCGGTTCCCTGGGAAGGACAGACGATTTCTCGAGTTCCGGCCAATGGGCAGTACCGTTTATGATGACGTCACCCGTCCTCGGCCAATGGCGGTGCCCGTTGGGTGTGACGTCACTCGGCCTCCTGCGGTGGAGGTGTGTATCCGACAAATGTCCACTTGCGCTCCAGTTTAGCCCCTACGCCGGAGACTACCTCCTTGAAGACGCGTCCGTACCTGAGGATGGCGCCGACACGGGAAATCAGGGGCATGATATTGGTGGCAGGGTATTGTTTATGGGTCGCAGATCACAAGTCAGTGGCCATTGATTCCATGAAAATCGATCATCATTGATTTATTGACCGCATCAGTGGGGTCGGCAGATCACCGGCCATTGGTATCGGACCAGGAGCATTGGTATTGATAGGTTATAAATGATCACAGATCAGAGGTCAAACATCACGTGTCGTTGATAACATGCACGGGTCACAGTCAGGGTTGGCATTTTTGCCGGCAAAAACTAGTTTATGCCATTTGCCGGTTTAAACCGGTTTTAACCGGCAAAAAGTGGCAAAAACTGGCAAAAACTAAGAAATATCACAATGGTATGCCTGGACATGAATTTGTACATGAAACATTTTAAGAAGAATTAGGTGAAAGCTTTATGCTTTCAAACAGAAGTGACATTGACCATTGAAATGCTTCATAACTCAGAAACATTTTCATGGGCTTTCCATAAGGAGCTAGTGAGATGCCTTTTGGGGGTGACAAATGAGCCAGTGCAAGGGTGACTGGGCGAGTCCTGCACAATCAGAAGTACGAAGGGGTATCTGCCCCTGATATGCGCACGGCACCGCATGGCACCCTACTTACCGTGGCCGTCTTGCCCCACTCTCCCCTACATGAAAATACATTCTGTTGGGGATGTCTATTGACATGCATAGACATATTGGAAAATACATGCATAGACACATGGATGTCATATTGACATGCAGGGATAAGTGATGAGGCAGCTTCAGAATGTTTATTGCATCTATATAACTACCAGAAATGCATTTGTACATTTCAAATCCATTCCTAACTAGAAAAGTTGTAGGTTTGGCCATCTGAGTTTTAGCCAGTTCTTGCCACCAGGGTTTCTGCCAGCCGGTTTAAACCGGTTAAAACCACTGGCCAAAACCAGTTTTTGCCACCCCCTGCCAACCCTGGTCACAGTCTACCGATCGGAGGTTACATGCCACAAGTCAGTACTCAGTTACCAGACGGAGCCTGGCCCGCTTCTTACAGCCGGTCTAGATACCTTCACGTCCCTCACTACGCCTCCTAACACAATTGATGGTCTTCTGACTTGTTCAGATAGCCACACTAAAAGTCACACTGAGCTTCCCGACACTGCATGGAAAGCGTCAGTGTAAACTCAAGTTTACATTTGCTCAGCAACGTTCCTTGTTTTAATTATTTATAAATTTTGTCCGAATGGATGAATGGGTGGCCCTGGGCCCGTGTGCCCCGCTAAGCAGTACTCGTTGCGAATGACACCACGGACCCACCACCCCACCTTTCTCACGCCCGGTTCACCGGTGACAATTTAAATAGAAAAATTAACGCGTAGCAGGCAGATGGCGTTACAGTTCTCTTGGGTCTCGTGTGGCCCTCTCTCGTCAGTTTGGAGCTAACTAGCTCAATATAGGAACACGAGTCACTTGCAAATTGCAATTGATGAGATACTCGTATATACCTATCACATTTATCCGAAACAATCAGTTGGTTGTAAATAATTCATTCAACTCTCTCACATCCTAGGCACGATGCTGGCGCGAGGTCAAATTGAGACTTATGCTGCCGCCAAGAGGCGCAGACCAGCTAGTACCACCCGTGTTCTACAAGCCGCCGAGAGAAACGAATTACACCAAACAAACATTTGTTTGGCGTCGGCAATGAATGGCCCTGCCAACTGCATCCCTCGCGCCGAGGAAACAACGGACTCCCGGAATGCTGGACCAGAGATTAAAGTGAAACATAAGAGGCGGTAGACATTAATTAGCCAAGGGGTGGGATGCAGTTGTTTCTCTTTGTTCGATCCAGAACAAATATTTCCTATCACCACACACGCTGTATCAATGGCGCACATAAAAGGCCTAGCAGCTTTGCTATTTTCTCATTCAATCCAGCATTACGTTATCTTTGCCAATTCAAATTAACCGTAACATATTATAACAGCTACACAAAAGACATTTCAGCATCAATTTAAATGCATCACACAATGATAAACACCAAATTAAAGGAGACGTCTCAGCAATGTCAACACTACGCAGCCCTTAAAAATTTCACATAAACATAGCAATCCATACGAGTATTCTACAATCTATCTGAGCTATCTATCTTAGCAATCTATCTACATGGTAACATACTCAATCTATCCACTATCAATATCCACCACCTCTGCCTGTTTCCCGCCATTTTTTTTCGCGCGCTGCTCACCTGCCGAGCGCGGTCTCCACGTCTCGCGGGCTGAGGAGCACGTATCCGGGGAACTGCTGCAGGTACGACCAGATGTAGTCGCAGCTGGCGCCCTCCGGGTGAACGTTCAGGAACGCAGCAGACAGACCTGCGACGGGGCGGGTGGTGTCAAAGTGCGACAGGGGTAGGACAGATATGAGATATGACAAGATAATAGGTGACCGATAAGACGGATTTGTGACAAGGCCGATTGAAATGCTTTTACCTTTCAATGCCTAAAAATATATAAATGGACATGGAAGCTATTGCACTACATGTTAGGCACCTGAAATAAGCACGCATTTTTAACAAACAACACATAGTGTGATGAAATAAAGAACACATTTTATCTATCAGCGGTGCGGCAGTCACCTTCGATCTACGAAGCGGAAATAGCACACATGCAGTCCATTCCACCGACACAGTTCAGCATTGCGCGCTTCTCGGTCAGAGACGCGGCCAACCCAATCCGACATTTCGCTGCCGAGTTCAGTGCGAGTCCCGACACCCAACACCACCCAGGGGACGAAGAAGCCGCGCCGTCGATACGGCCGATCGTAGCTCACCTATGATACGGGCGTCTCCGCCGTCCACGGCAGCGGCCGGGAGGGGAGAGTAGGCAGCGTCCCGCTCCGCCTGCTCGGAGTCCTCGGTAGCGCCGGAGGTGTCCTCCTTGGCACTGCGGGAGGACATAGTTCAGTGAGGAGGACGGTAGGTGCAGGAGGACAGTGTCGAGAGGTCCGGAATGAAACACTCTTGAATGGAAGGGAAAATATATCATCTTGCGTCTCGTTGAAAGAGAAGCAAGATTCCGATCTCTGCATGCCGGTTGAAGGTACACACACAAACGGTTCCAAAAAGAGAAATCGACATTAGCCTATAACAAGCTGTTGAGTTGACTTGGCATCTGCAACAGATGTCTGCCCAAACACCGCTTCGTGATGGATTTAGGCCATCAAGTGGTTTATCAGTCAATCACATTATCGTCGATCATTGTGATTAAGACTGACATTAACTAAGCCATTTCAACGTGTAAAGGAACAATCTGCCAGCCAACTGCATTTCTAAGCTTAACCACGATAAATGTAGGATATCTATCCCTCTTTATGCGTGATAATTTGTGAAAGAAATGCCTCGCACCCGCCGATTCTGTGCCTTGCCACCGGACGGGCCTTGGGATGGGCGGAAACAGGGGCACGTTTTACCAGCACTTTGCCGCGTTGATGGCGACAGTTTGATTTTCATGGTACCACAACCCGTGTCATTCCGCAGCCTTAGTGCCCATATCCCACAGACTGAGGAACAACGGTCACAAAAAGAGCACACAGTGCCGACCATTACCCTGACTATGACCACTCCGAATCGCCCAGAACTCGTACTTTCCCTACCAAACCACAGACCGTGACCACTGTCGGCCCTTCCCCTACTACTCCTCCCACAATATCGGCGACTGACCCTTTCTCCTTGCTGGATACCGCTTCCTTGCCGTCTCCATCCTTCTTGTTCTTCATCGGCGTCAGCCTCGCCAGCTGCGCCTTCAGCTGCTGCAGCTGCTGCTCCAGGGCGGTCTCGCGTGATTTGGTCGTCAGCAGTTGCTGTAGGAAGGGGGGGGGGGGGTCATATGTAGATGGGGAATGAGAAGTAGCGGTCTCATACAGACGCGAGACCAAGTGCGCGTTCTATTGAAAATGCGGTGCTTGAGGTCTTATTGTGGGATGCTGAGGGGTCTGTCATAGGGCGTGCGAGCGATTGTGTAGAATTGCATTATGCAAACCAATATACCGATCACGATATAAAGTTCATACGGTGAATCTTAGCATCATACTTAAGACTCAGCCTTGGATTCAGAGCACCGATAAACCGTTCAGCGATAGTGCACCGAACAAGGCGGGACGACTTCCACAGTGGTGGTGGTTGCAGCTGGTAGTAACCATTACAAACTTCAGTGTGTGTGGCCGCTCTTTGGTGAGCAGTATTGCCAGCATCGGCAGACTTCAGAGGTCATCGCCACCCCAAAACAGCCGATATGTGCGGATGTTCGTTAGATGACATGCAGGTTTTAACAGCCAATCTATGACAGACTTTGGGTTTGTGTGATAGCGAGAGTAAGCAAATAGGTGGCGATAATCAAAAGTCTAGCGAAATCTGCTCCTAGAGATTCCGCAACATATCAGATATTTTGTATTTAATGCCTTAGTGCAAACAACGTTTAGAATTAAATTCAACAAAGACAAAGATTCACACCTTGAGCTAAGTTGTACCTGAAACAAGTAAACATTCGGCAAGCAGAGGTCCGTATTCATTGGTCGCTTTACAACCCCCTCCAAGACACCAACGCCCGGGGAGACAGCCCCCGTCTGTGCCACCGACCTGCTGGACGTTCTGCATGGTCTTCCTCATGATGTCCATCTCGGCGTCCTTGGCGTCCAGCTCCTCTTTGTGCTCGTGGCGCACCATCTCCGCCTCGTTCTTGTAGGCCTCCAGCTGACAGCGGAGTGCGTCCGTGGCGTCGTGTTGCTGTGGGGCGCGGAAGGACGGGTCAGGCCACATTAGAGGCGAAGAACCGCAGTAGAGCGTAGGCGGACAGTAGAGCGTCCGTGGTGTCATCCTACTGCGGTTTAGGTTGGGTCAGGTTATGTCGGGTGGGGTTAGGCCAGATTAACCCGCGCCCTGCTGGGGGGGGGGGGTGTTTGAACACCCCCCTTGTGGTTTTTCGCGAATATCTCAAAAACGGCGGCGCTCCGCGCCGCCGTTTTTAGTACACCTTATCATACATCAATTCTACACATGTTGTGAAAATTTCAGACCAAGGTCATTCAAGGTCAGGTCACCAGGTCACTTGAAGTGACCTCACCTCATAAAAACTTTCAATGTCTGTCAAAGCTACACCGAGTGACCGATCGCTTTGAAACTTTCAGCGATTGCTAAGAGCAATAGCATGTACAAAATGTATATCTCAGAATTTTGATATCGATGACCTAAGGTCAGGTCAATTTTGCGACCTCCCCATTATAAGTCAATGGGATAAAATTGAAATGCGCCTCTTTTGGACGAAAGACATTATAGACACTCCCAAACACTGAATTACAAGTGGTTTAGACACACTGAACATGAAAATAGTGTCCGTGACCCCTGTTTATGTCCTGAGGTCATCTTAGGTCACGAATGGTATCTAACAGTTTTTCGCAAATAACTTTTGATAGAGGCATGCTAGAGCGATGAAAACGCCTTAGATGTGTTCAGCTCGACGATACGGATCGACTGATATGCAACATGACCCTTTCCGGTCAGGTCATGACCTTGACCTGAGGTCAAATTTTCAAGTTGACCTTTCAAGGTCAATATAGTTCATTCGATGCGTCTTGACGAGAGGAACACGATGCCGGTAAAAGTAAGCTCGTACAAGGCTTGGGTCAAAAGTTATTGCAGAAAAACAGTTTCCGAAAAAATCGGCTATTTTTGCAGTTTTTGCCCCCTGCAGGCAAAACCGTTGACGTTAGGTCAAATCTGAGAAAATTACTCAGAAAGGGCGTTAATTGGGCTATCGAATGCGCTTTTCCGCGGCGCTGTAGCTCTATTGGTTCCCGAGTTATGCGTTGGCTTCTTGGAAATTTTCGACATTCGACCTGGAAATCGGCGAAATTTTGCCTTCAATGACCTCTGGTGACCTGACCTTTGACCTGACCAAAAAATTGACCGAAGTGATTTCCTCATTATTTTTGACGCTCTTTCGAACGCCGCCTTCTGCGTATCGCTACGTGGCCCAGGAGCCGATTTAGAAGGGGGGGGGGGGGGGGGTGTTCAAACCCCCCCCCCCCAGCAGGGCGTGGAAATCCAGGACCCCCAGCCGGGCGCGGGTTAAGTAATGCAGTTGTCTATGATTCTAATTTATCTTCTTGGTGTAGGAGAATAAAACCTGACCAGTAAACAGCAACCAGCCAGATTTTTAGGCGTTCTCAGTTTTTCGTTTACTTTTGAAGGAGACCGTTCTGACTCAGAGGCAGGCAGGGGACGGCAGAACGCCATCACGGGGTTCCGCAGTCGAGACAGGACAGGACAGGACAGGACAGGACAGGACAGGTCAGGTCAGGTCAGGTCAGGTCAGATCAGGTCAGGTCAGGTCAGATCAGGTCAGGTCAGGTCACAGGGGTCAGGACTGAGAAAGTCGATGAAATGGATCAGATGTCCCGATGCGGTGACACACCCACCAGTTTCCCGGCTCACCTCGTCCTGAGCTTGTTTGCGCGCCCTCTTCTTGGAAGGCTCTTCGTCATCGGAGAGGTCCATCTCGTCGTCAGCACGTTCGCCGGACAGTTCATCGATCTGGATTTTCTTGATTTCCTGTGGCGTCGTGGCAGAGAGCGTCAGCGGGGTGGGTTGGCTGAGATGGAGGGACGGCTGAGGACCCTAAGGATAATAACTATGGTGGGAAGGATAGGTTTGGTGGCTAGGTTCGAGTCTGATACGTATATGGTATTGGGAGGAAACAAAGACGGGTGGCGGGGTTGAAATGGGTACACGAAAGGTCGAAAATGCAGGGAAAAGTTCATCCGTATCGACAAGAGGAACACCAAAGAGAACAAGTAAGAAGGAGCTGTAGGAAAACATCGGTAAGCATCAAGTACAATGAAGGAGCCATTGGTTTTGGGGTAAATAATGGTGAAACATCAGGCGAAAGAAAGCTTATGAAGAAATTACGGGATATTAAGTCAAGTTAGGCAGCAGTATTTCACCTAATCCGGATTACCACACAGCTTTCAATAACATTTTTGACGACAATCACCCAGTAAAAGGACAACGCATTTCAAATGATAGTACAAGTAACTTTAAAATAACAAATACTCCATAATAACAGTCCGTTGCGCCTTTCGTTGCGGTCAGCTGATGTCACACAGATCACTGGCGAGAGAAGCGAGTCGCCTTCCGCCACCGTAGTCTCGTACTCCGCTCGGCGCGGGTGCCCAGCCTGAGTTGGATCAAATTCAGCCGAGTGAGACACACCGCGGCCTGGTACCAACAACCGTGCCGCTGAGATGGCGAACACGACCGTCATTCCAATGTTAAGCAGTTTGCAGTACCAGCGCCCGCTGTCTTACCACAGTCAGACACATCCCCCTCAGGCAGATTCGGTCCCTTCCAGTCCGATGGCCGTGCTGGCTTCTGGTGCCGATAGCGGCTTGTTACTCGGCTGTTCGAATTGTTACCAGCAGCTGTAGCTCTCACAGTCGGCAGCTGCCCGTCATGCCTGCTCGCGACCGCTCGATGTTCATTACCAGATCATTGACAGTCGGTGGGCCGCTCGTTTCCTTATACCGGGTAGATTGAAAGGCGCGGAGCAACTCGCTGCTTTTACCTGATGCCTTGAGTCTTGGAGTCATGGGATCGCTCGCTTCCTATTACCTATATCTACAGCACCGCTTGGTTTTGGCTGCCAGATGCTTCGGCCGTTACAGTTCTCTATTACCCAACGCGTAGACCGTCGCAGGTTCTCGGTTACCTATTATGTTGGTTGTTGCCGGTTCTCGGTTCGCAGGTCTTTTAACAGCCACAAGTTCTCAGTTACCTACTACGTTAGTTGTTGCCAGTTCTCGGTTACCAAATCAGATGACAGTCGCTCCGTTCTTGGCTACTTATTGCGTTTTTTTTCTAGTTCCCTTTTACCAGATCTGATGACAGCCGCTATTTCTCGGTTACCTACTGCGTTGGTTGTTGCCACTTCTCGGTTATCCGATGCGTTGATAGACGCTAGTTCTCGATTACTGCATTTGTTGACAGTCACTCATGGTTTTCGGTTACCAGGGTGCGTTTACCGTCGCTAGTCCTCGGTTACCCGATGCGTTGATGGGCTTAATTCCCAATTAATTGATCCACTGACAGCTGTTTGTTATCGGTTACCAGATGCGCCAGGATCTCGTAAGAATGCTGCAAAAAGCGTAACTTTAGTACGATCGGCACGATCGTCCGCATCGCTTTCTTGGCTGAAATTGCCAACTCGAAGGCGAATGGCATCCTTGGAGGTAAACTGCGCTGGGGCGGCATCCCGTACATGTACACTTACCGCGGTGTAAGACCCCCCACTCCCCATCGCCAGAAAAGGCGACACCTATTCCTGGCCCTGACGATGGTGATTCCATGAGATCTTATACGTACCCATATAATATCTCTATGGGTAATTCACTCAACCATTCGTCCATTGCATTCTCAATACTTACTTCCTGTGGCAAAATATCGGAAAGGGGAACCAGAACAGTGAAGAGACACTAAAGCTGTCAGTCCACACACTTTCCGATATTCTGTTATTTAACAAAGCCGCACGAAGGTGTTTTTGATCATATAGACCATAGACCTCTGTATACAGAGGTCTATGTATAGACATAGGGATATTTTCCGTCTCAGTACTGAAACATAATCCATGTCTGCAATTCATGGCAGAATTAACAGGCCAATGAGCCTTCGTGCGACTTTTTGCGGTTCTTACCGAGGCCTGCTTCTTCCAGAGCTCAATGTTTTTCCGCTGTGCCTTGCTGAAGTGGTCCCAGACCTTCTGCTGGCAGGCCGCCAAGAAAACTCGCTCGATCTGGCCGACTAGAAAACAATGCGTACCGTACACGTCAGGTCAGACCAATCAGAGCGCGCCGCGCGCCGGGCTGGCCAATCAGCGTCCAGGTGCATACCGTTCGGTCAGGCAGACGTCCTCAGGTGAGCCCCAAGCTGGCAGACTAGAACATGAGGTATACCGTACAGACACAGCAGACTTATCAGCGACTTGTTTGGGCCGCGTGGACCAATCACAAGTGACCCTGGATGTGCAGAAGACGCACTGCTCAGTAAGGGAGCGCAATTTGTTCGAGTTAAAAAAAAAAACTGGATATCAGGTATATCCATCGAATAATGCAAACACATCTGAAAACCAACAACAAAAATAATCCCTTACTGATCAGGGTATCTCCACTGGTTTCAGATGAAAGGACGCGCACTGAACATATTTGAATGCCTACTAAGCGGTTTTGTAGATTGATGAAGTATTTCACGGCATGAAATAATATAGAATAAGGGTATAAAACCAAATGATTTTTTATTTAACTCGTGACGAGCTTCATCTATCGTCAAAAACGCCTAGCACATCATACAATACCGTTTATGGCCTGGCTCCTGAAAAGTCATACCGGCATACCAGCACATACGGTTATCATACCAATTCAGCGCGGCCGGTCCATGACTGGCATGTGCCCAATCAACTGACCGAGCGACCATACAGACCCTCTAGTGACCAACATAGTCACAGATCCAAACCATGACGGAAAACTGTCTCAGATGGGCCTACCGGCGTCTGAGATTAAGCGATGCTGAGTCTAAACGGACCGGTGGCCTCGCACACACCGGTCCTAAGCACGCCATATGGACCCGTGAGGCCGTGTTCACAGACAGTGACTAGCTCTGCCACCTACCGAACATATCAGACAACAGGGGCGATCGGCAGCGGCCCGCCACGAGGAGGGCAGAGATCCATCCAGCGAGAGGCAGAGCAGCGGGAAGACCGGTCTAAACGCAACCGACTGGTTCTAGAGAGTGCGTGACTCATCTGAGAAAGCGAATAGCGATACAAACATCATGTAAGACCGAAATATGAGAACATGAATAAATTTGCAAAAAAAAAAAAGAGCGTGGTAAATAAGAGTGAAATATTAAAGATCTTCTGGCTACTTGATTATACTGCAAGCGATTCTTCTCTACAGTAAAACAGGGTGCACTAGTACAAAACGCTTTATCGATGACGCGTATTGCACGAGTCACTGAAGCCCGTTATACTGTATATAAGGAGTCTTTGCAATGAACTTACACGTAGCCCGTTTCAAAGCCTACGCCTCATTCGGGACGAGTTTTTCCTCTACTGCCCTCCCCCTGCCGATCGCCCCCGTCCTGTCCGGCGCACCTACCTGCCTCTCCGTCGCTCTCTCCCGTCCTCCCGCTCTGTCCCGTCCACTTACACTGCACGATGACCTGCTGCTGACGGAGACGCGCCTGTTCCCTCATCTTGGCCAGCTCCTCCTCGATGACACTGCGCTCCGACATCAGTCTGACGGGAGAGAGGGAGGGGAGGGGGAGGATGAGAAGGGGAGGCGGGGAGCAAGAATAAAGGGATTAATGGCATACTACGTCGGGGACAATTATAATTATGGGAGGGGGGAGTAGGGGCTATTCTAGTACCGTCTCACGGCGCCCTCATAAGCCCCGCCTCTTCCCGTACGGTCTGACTCTCCCTACCTCCACCCCCTCTATTCCGTCCCGTTAAAGCCCTCCCTAAAGCCCTATTCCCGCATCATTTGACTCCCTCACTGCACCCCATCCACTCCCGTACCGTCTGACTCCCTCACTGCACCCCATCCACTCCCGTACCGTCTGACTCCCCCTACACCCGTTCCCGTACCGTCTGACGTGCGAGTTGGTGGACTGTATCATGGAGTAGAAGTTGCCGGCGGTGCGTTTGTTGCAGTCGCCCCGCTCCAGCCAGGTGGTCAGCAGCTGCACCGACTCGCCGAACGTCGACTCCTCCTTGATCTTCTCAAGCAGCTGCTGCGCCTGGAGACGGAGGAGCAGTTGGAGGTTACAGCACAGCGGGGGGAATATGAACTGAAGAATCTAGACAACCTGCCACGAGACTGCCAACCAAGACAGTGCCAAGACTGGTACATAGGGCCTTGCTGTCACTCACTCACTCACTCACTCACTCACTCACTCACTCACTCACTCACTCACTCACTCACTCACTCACTCACTCACTCACTCACTCACTCACTCACTCACTCACTCACTCACTCACTCACTCACTCACTCACTCACTCACTCACTCACTCACTCACTCACTCACTCACTCACTCACTCACTCACTCACTCACTCACTCACTCACTCACTCACTCACTCACTCACCCACTCACTCTCTCTCTCTCTCTCTCTCTCTCTCTCTCTCTCTCTCTCTCTCTCTCTCTCTCTCTCTCTCTCTCTCTCTCTCTCTCTCTCCCCCCCTCACCTCGTGGTGCGAGTAATGGCTGACGGGCGGCGGTGACGGCGGTCGGTTCATGTCCTCCAGCTGACGCTGCCGATGACGCATCTCCCGCTGCAGCACGCGCTGCTGACACTCCCACTCGTATGTGTCGTCCCGGGCCTGCCGGTCAGGTCGGGTCAGGTCAGATCAGGTCGGGTTATTTGCTGCTGCTGACACTCCCATTCGTATGTGTCGTCACGGGCTACAGACCTGCCATCCCCGTACCAGTTGAGTGCATAACAATGCCCCAACCCCCTGCGCCTACCCCTGTGATTATAGTCACAGCACCACCCTATATCTAAATTTTACATGGTCACACGAATCCCCGTACCTGAGCGTAGTCACAGTGAAGCCTGCCAGTGTTGGCGGCGTCCGTCTCGTCCCGGATCTTCATCCTGTAGCCAGAGAGCATGATGGCATACTCGACGTACACCTCCAGCTCAAAGCGGATGTGCGCAAAGTTCTTCTGCGACATCCGCAAACTGGATATTTCGCCGCACCGGCGGAACACGTCCCGCAGAATGTCCTCTGATGGGGGGGGGGGGCAGGGGGTCAAGGACCGTCTACCATCGACCTGAACTCTGAGAGAGATGAGCAAGGGACATATAACGGTTAAACAGATTTTAACCAAATTATTACTGTCCTCCCCTAAATGGTCACTCCAAAACATACTCTACTCCGCGCTAATAGCATCTGACATCTTCTTCCCCTATCTAGCCCCCATCACAGTCATCCATCGGTTGTGTTGCCCCTTCCCTTCCCTCTTCCAATCGGTGATGTTGCCTCCTTCCCCACATCCCCGCTCACTCCTTCACCCACATATAACATTTCCATCTCATCCCTCCTCTCTCTTCCCACCGTCTCTCACCTGTAATATTCTCGGGCAGTCCTCCGATGAAGGCCGTCCGGCAGCCGGGAGGCCGCTCGCGGGTCATTGGTGGCCGCGCGTTGGGATTGGGAGGGTAGAGCACACATTCACTGCACGTTATCACCTCCTGGGGATAGCGAGGGGAGAGTTAGGGGAAGGAATTAGCCCAGCAATCAGCTAGGGACTCTAATTTGCCGGTAACAACTGACGTTTGCATCGCCTATGACGTAGAATGAAGAACTCATGGTCATTCAGCAAACACGGTTGCCTATAAGATTCCCAGCAACCTGAGCCAAGTAAAAATCAGCTCCTAGAAAGTAAGACAGGAGAAATGTGAGCCAGCATTATCGCATTTGAAGCTAAAATGAAAGCAAAACGGATCCTAATTTATGTAAACAAGTCTCCACACGCATCATGTCCTTATGGTCTCGAAACTTCACTGTGTATTTTGACAGACCTTGATGGGGACAAAGTTTCCATCTGGCATCCAGGTGCCTGGCAACTGGGGGTAGAGCGGCTGCTGCATCCCGGCTGGTAACAGGTTATACTGGCCCTGAAACACAGAAAAGGTCAGAGTATTGATTTCATCGAGCATAAAATGCGGGTATTCTTGCAGCAAAAGTCAATGAGTGTCAATAACTCAGTTTTTTCACCACAAGCCAGCTGGTCGCATCAGTGATACATGCTAAACATGAAACCTGGCTACAGCCTGCTGAATATTAGAACCCAGAACAGAAATAAGACAGAGCATCCCATACTTAAGAGTCATGAGCCTCGATTGATCTAGCATTGATCAGTGATCACCCACCAGCAGTATGGGCAGCTTCATGTGTGACAACAAGGGCTAAACGTCTGGCCACATCCATTGTCCCGCTCTCCGCCCCAAGCCCATCTGATATCTGTCTTTCTCCTGGTCCGTTCCTTACCGTAGTCATCATCATGCTCGGGTCGACGGCGCCGGCGCTGCCCATGAAGGCACCCATGTTGTTCATATCCATGGCTCCCATGTTGTTCATTTCCATGCCGCCCATGTTATAGCCCATCATGCTGGGACCTGTCACACAGAACGCAGGGGTTAGAAGTGTGACAGGCTGCGGCGCCAACACTTTGATCCCAGAAGATTCTTACGTTCCTATCTATCATTTGCATGATCCAGACACTAATTTAAATTGGGTAATCATGAGCAGAAGCTGTATCATACAGGAGGAGAGGAACAAATAAAACACATTCAAATACACAAATATCCAATTAAGGTGGTTCAACCATCGACTCTTTTCTCCCCCACTCTACTAGAGAAGCAGGGCCCAAGGAACAATCCCTTCCCCCACTTCACCCTGCTGTTCTGTATTCTGTATTCTGTATTTATTAGATCGCCAACAGGCCCATCGCCCTTTTACTGACGAAGTCAGTTACACACAAGCAATACACAAGATGACAGTACCTACATAAGAATAAACGTTCGATAAAACAAGATCGATAAAAGTAAAGCACGTGAGTATGATGTAAAAGATCACATGAAAGTGCCTTGCGTAATTGTGAAGCCGATAGCGCGTGTTTTAAATGAGTATGAACTACCAGTAAAGAAGTCGGTGGTCGGGTCATGGAGCAAGAATGAGTTGCATGCAGCTGGGATCCTGACAAACAAACATCGTTGCACAGTGTTCACTCGCGCGCGCGGTGTGTTCCACAGAACCGTGCTCCTCGTCCTCCGTGCCGGTACGGCAAGACCGAACGCACCGACTAACACATCATTGTCCAGCTTCCCACGATGAATGTGGAATAAAAACATGATATCGTACTGTATGAATCTAGACTTGATGGAGCGCACTTTAAAATGTGAGAGTAAAACCAAGTAGTCCAGGTCGTCAGAGCGCCTGTCAGAGTAACGAGCTAACCACATCAGAAACTTGTGCTGCACTCGCTCGAGCCTTGTCAGGTGAGATGCAGCCGCTCCAGCCCATATGACACAGCCATACTCGATGATTGAACGCACATGAGCGTAGTACGTACACAACATGGTTTTGTGATCAAAGGCGGCTCTGCTGTAGCGTCGAGACAGTTGCATACTACGGATAATCAGTCCTAACATCCGGTTTGCCTTGGCAACAGTCTGGTCAACGTGGGCGGCAAACGTAAGCTTGGAGTCGAGGATTACTCCTAGGTCTCGGACTTCGGATCGGCGCTGTAGGGTAGTGCCATCTAGAGTGTATGTGGCTAGGATGGGAGATTTTCGTAGGGAGAAGGAGATGACATGACATTTGGTAGGATTTAATTTTAGACGCCATGCAGCAGACCAGGTGGAGAGACGGTTGAGGTCGGCCTGGAGCAGTTCTGTGTCAGAGTGGGAGGTGATGCGGTGGTAGAGTTTGATGTCGTCTGCGTACATGATACAGTTGGTTTGGATAAGGGTGGGCAGGTCGGCGGTAAGACAGATGAACAAGAGGGGACCACAGACACTCCCTTCCGGCACGCCGGATCTGACAGGAGCCCAGTCAGAGCACATGCCGTCTAGCACCACTCTCTGACGACGGTTGGTTAGGTAGGACCTGATCCAGGATAGAGCGCGCCCAGTGACGTTGAAGGATGTTTGGAGCTTGTGGAGGAGTAGGATGTGGTTGACACTGGTGAAGGCAGAGGAATAATCAGTATAAATGGAGTCAGTTTGAGCACCAGCCTGGATGGAGTCCCAGCTGTGTTTGAGGAACACGCTGAGGTTGGATGAACAGGATCGGTTGGGAAGGAAGCCGTGCTGACTGGAAGGTAAGGACGGGAGAACGTGGGCCAGCAGGGTGTCACAGACGACTCTCTCCAGGACCTTGGAGCAGAGGGGGAGAAGGGAGATACCGCGATAGTTGTTAGGATGAGACAGTCCCATCCTGTCCATCAATCCCTCCCCCACCATGACAAGAGGGGTTACCTGTCTCTCTCCCTCCCCTCCTTCACGCTAACAGGGCTGAGACATCCCTCCTCACGTCTTCTTTACCCTGCTGCTGTAGCTACTGAGGCGTCCTCCCTCCTCCCTTACCCTATGACGGCTGCTAAGGTTTCCTTTTCCGTCCCTTATCCTTCAGCACTTCATGCTGATACGTCCCCCTCCTCTCTCCCTTACCCTGCGGCTGCGGCGGCTGCGGCTGCTGCTGCTCCGGTGGCGGCATGTCCCACATCTGCGGGCCTCCTCCAAACTGTCCTCCGCCGACCGGTCCTCCTCCGCCTCCTCCCATGGCCATCTGGTCGGGTCCGCCTCCCACCATGGCCTGCGGCGGGCCGGGCGGCGCCGGCAGCAGCGGGGCGCCGTTGTTTGGGAGGCCCGACATGCCGCCTGGAGAGGAAGGGGGGGGGGGGGTGGAGTCAGAGGGGAGTCAAGTGTGGAGACAACATGAATCAGAGTCAGAAGGGAGACAGAGTTCGCAGAGGGAAGTAAGGTACGTGGCAGACAAAGTCAGGGCAGACAGAGTCAGGGCAGACAGAGTCAGGGCAGACAGAGTCAGGGCAGAGTCAGAGAGGGAGTCAACAGGGGTTGATAGCGTTAGTGAGATGAGAACACAATCGGCAGAATGAGTCAAAGTCATCATCATGGTAAGTCATGGTTACACACCTGAATGGTGGTGTCACAAAATCAGTCATAATAAGCACCGATGACATCAGAGCAGCCAGTGTGACTGATTGCGACTTGATTTATACTTTTACCCGCGAGCAAAGCCTCGAACTAGACATTTACAGTACACTATAAGCGCTGTTTGCCTATATACACCCCTCAGTCACAGATACCTCTTTCAGCCATATCGCACCAAAGCCCGTACCTGGCGCCATTCCACCGCCGGCCTGCATGTTGCCGCCGCCGTGGCCGCCGGGCGCGCCTTCCCAGCGGCTCCTGTCGCGTCGACCGTCTGCCGGAACACAGAGGGGCGTCGGTGAATGGGGTGAGTTGTTGTTGGGAATAGAGAAGGCTTGGAAAATAGTGGGAGGCCGTTGGTTCACAGTGTTGGCTAGGTGACACTATTCCCATGTTTAGATTGGAGCAGGGGAGCAGATACGCAATCATGGGCAAAGTAGACAACATTTTCCATGATCGATAATATGTGGTAAATGGCACATCCTGGTACCTAAAATGAAAGAAAAAATAAACAATAGCAACACTTTCACGTTTCCGTTTACATCAAACTGCAGCGCAAGACACAGTGCGAGACTACTCTATCGACATCGTTGTAGCTGACCTCCTCCCATGTCCGTTATAGTCGTTTACCTTCCCTGCGTCCGTTATAGTCGCCAACGCCATTCTTACCTCCTCTGCGACCGTTATAATAGTCACCCCTGCCGTCCTGACCCCCCACTGCGTCCGTTATAGTCCCCCGTTTACCTCCTCTGCGTTCATATTATAGTCTCCACCGTTCTTCTTACCCCCGTGCGTCCGTTGTAGTCCCCCACTGACCTCCCCTGCGTCCATTGTAGTCCCCCACTGACCTCCCCTGCGTCCATTGTAGTCCCCCACTGACCTCCCCTACGTCCGTTGTAGTCCCCCACTGACCTCCCCTACGTCCGTTATAGTCTCCTCCGCCGCTGTCCGGACCCCCATTGTCCTGGTACCCCCGGCCGGGACCTGAGCGGCCGCCGCGCAGACCGCCTCGCGAGCGGGGGCCGCGCCGGTCAGACGTGTCCGGAGAGCCATCTGTCGGGGACAAACAGAAGTTAGGGTTCTGGGGTCGCGTTCAGGTGGCTGAAGAGTATGCTAAGAAAGAAACAGCTGTGATGAGCAGCTAATGAGCTGAGCTCATCGATAGATCGTTAAGCAGGTAGTATGTGTAATTAGCAGCACATACAATGATACTGACAAGCAACACTCTACCTATCATATTGCCACATTGTTACCATACACTTCACAACCCACATTTCCTCATTCATTGACTGGAATACAAACATGTAAAAAGCAAAAGGAGATTGTATTTAGCTGCAGCTTACTGGTGCCTCCAGATGGTGCTGCACCACTCCCCAGCCTGTTACCAAACTCCAGAGGCTGGTTGTTGTTGCCTGGTCCAGGACCCATTCCATAGCCAGACATGGTTACTGCTGGATGTCACAGATCTGAGGAAGGAATAAGAAATGCTGTTTTTTTTTCCATAAATGTATTTATTTCACTTACATACAGGTTGCTTAAACAATTATTGCACCCATGACTCTCATCCCCCTCCCCCCACACTCAACACTTTCAGTTGCTATTGAATGAATGAATATCCACTCTTACTCGGCTGTCACTCTAATAATCCACACTTGCAGACATCACAACTATTAGTCAAATCGCAATAGATTTGTATTCTCAAAGGACGTCTATTGTAGACCAGACCCAACATGGTCTTCCCAGTCCCTGGGTATCTTGATCTTTGCTGTTGATCATTGATAGAGATGTTGAGGACTGACTGGCACCAACATTGGTTTCAGTACACGAGTGATACCATTTGATAGGCAGGCACAACTCAAGTGCATATATCTAGTATGCTCCTGTTTAGATTAAATACCTACATCATGTTTCACCAACACATTTTTTAGTTACTGGCCTGGCAGATCCTCAGAAAGGGTCACTTAGGGCAGCCACTATACTGCAACCACAGCAGCAGCAACCAAAACTGACAACATTTTGTAATTATTTATATATCTACTTTAACTGCACAGTGACACCTAAAACATCAATATTGTAGTGATGAATAGTTTTTGAAAAATGGGTTAACTTTTAAGAAAATAAGCAGGTTCTACACTGAAACAGTAAATTTCTACTAGATCTTGCTGTGCAAAGCAAAGTTACTTGGCAAAAGTAGATTTTAAGAGGTGAAGTGTAGGCCCTTACATAGCAAACTGCTGATCCTAGACTGTGCTTGCACAGTGCTGTTCAAGACAATGATGTGGAAGCAAACACTAATATGTCTAACAGGGTTCATTTCAAAGTTCATTTAAAGGTGATAAAATACTGTTAACCCATAATTGTTTTCTGATTACAAGAGCAGTTAAAAGATTTATAGATTTATTAACAAAACCCTTCGGCCTTCACCTTGTTTATTCAGGCTAATGCATATTTCCAGCCTGGTTGGCTGTGCAGATGCCAGCCTTACAAACCAAATTAATGCTTGCAAAATGTCAGAATATGTATACAATGTTTTGCACAGCAGCCTTGGCACTGGTAGATCCAGGAGCCTGTGCTAAGAGTCTCCTGGATCTGCCTGGAGCTTCTTGGCAGGCTCCTTCCAAGAGGCTCCTGGCAGGAGCCTGGCAGGAGCCCCCCCCCCCTGCAGCAGCCAAAATTGATAAACATTTGTCATTTTTCTAGAGCAGAGTAAAAGTGTAACAACTTAAGTCAGGAAGTTTGCAGCTTACTGACTTAAGTTCTTCAAACAAACTTCTTGGGTAGTAAAGCTGGCATCACACTTGATTCTGGCAACCAAGGAGAGGTGCTGTAGGTTAGGTTGTAGGTTGTAGGTTTTAGGTTGAAGGTTGTAGGTAAGGTTAGATCAGCTTTGGTTAGGTGTGGTTTGGTTTGACTAGAAAGCACCTCTGGGCATAGCGCCTCTCCTTGGTTGCAAAAAAAAAAAAACAAGTGTGATACCTGCTTTATGACTAACACTGCTTCTTCTTACTAAGAACTAAGGATTTTGCTTGAAGTCAAACAACAGTGCAGTGCCTACCTATATAAGGAATTGAAATATAAGTTCTTGCCCTTGGAGTTCAAGGATATGTTTGGGTGAATGTCCCTCACAGCATCTGAGACTGCCTTTCTGGGCTAGCCTGCAAGCCATGATCTCAAACTGGACGACGGTGAAAACAGGGCGCCTGGGGCGATTTGATCAAGGTTCGTTAAATTTACACGTGACGTTTGGCATATAGAAGGCCCATAGAGCGGGAGAAGTTCCAAATGTCACGTGACTAATATGCCCTCCGGCGCCCTGTTTTCACCGGCATCCCTCAAACGGCATGCTGATGTCAATGTCCATGCCGATGCCGCCTGCAGCATTTGTAGGCCAGCCTTTTGGACCTATCAATATTTACAATGACATGTTATGCATATTCATTGTATCTGTATGACCAGTATGAGAATAAAATTGTATTTCCAGGAAATGCATTAGAATAGAAAAATTTCATGCCCAAGACGATCCACAAAGAAGCAATTATATGCCATGCACACACCCGAATGCCAATAAAAACCCCCTAGAATATATAGAACAAATTCACGAGCAATTCTATCAGATCCTCGAGCCCAATTAAAGCACATTTTTGGTATTTATCCGTTCCGTCTACCCGCGACGATCACCGCGTCCCAGCTTTGAATACTTTTATGTTTTCCGTACCTAGTGCTGGAATTATTATCATGGAAATCATCACTGTTTTTATTTTTTCCTTGTATTTTTTTTTGATTCGATGAAAAATTTTGACAATTTTTTAAAGATTTAAGTTAAATGCAAACAAAACTATTTAACAACAAATCTATAAATCGTTTTACTATTTACTCATGGGAATTTCGGTAAAGACTGAACAAAACCGTACATTACTAGCCAATCGCAGACATGTTTTGGTGTGACGTCAGTTCTCAAGAACGAAAACAGTTGTGCTCCGTGGCTGGTCAAGTGAGGACCGTCCGACAAAAGTGCTCGAATTGTGATCAAAATGGATTCTCTTCGTAATGAAGTGATGGTGAATCAGTTTGTTATGGTTGCTGGTTGTGCCAGAGAGCAGGCGAGGCAGCTTCTCCAAGGTGCAAACTGGCAATTCGAGGTAAGATTGCTGAGTCATTGGAATAATGGCTGCCGGCCACGCCGTCGCTGCCCGTGCGCACCGTCAGCTTTCTCTTCCCTTGTTTAGGCTGTATAACAATTTTTGACTGATGACACAAGTTATCCAGCTGAAAAAAATGTTTGCTATTTTGTTTTGTGTAGTCTACAGTTGAACAACATGGCTGCCGTTTGTTTACCTCGACTCTCGCCGATGACGCCGTAGGCAGTGACGTCATACAGTGCAGCGGGGCCCAATCACAATCGCTGTTTCGGGAAATCCGTGGTGACGATGAGTGTGGTTTGGGACGGGAGTGACGATATTGAATCGTACGATATCGTACGATTCAAATTTTAAACACGTAGATTTGATGGCCTTCTTGCCGGTTCAAGTTATTGCAACACCTCATAGGCGGATCCAGAACGCTGCGGCCAAACCCACTTTGACTTTCCCACACTCTGAAGAAACGCCAATTAAAAAAAAGAAATGTTATATTTCGTTTTCTCCTTTACTGCTGTACGGTTAAATCAAACTTCTAATACATTATAAGAAAAATCTTAAGTTTTCTTTGTATTGTAGAACACGGCTAATTTTTATCATATTCGGGTGCTGTTGGGGGGGGGGGGGGGGCTTTCCGGCCCCCGGGTTCTTCAGCATTAGAAAGGATGCCTTTCTTATGCACCTGATGGAGCACTTTGTGCACTCTCCAACTGTTGGCTATGCTTCCCTAAGACCCAACAAACAATAATTCTCCATTGGCTACTGGTTTCCGTCATCCGTGTTGTTCCCGAACAGCCGGACATCGCAGGGACCCCAGTCCATACCCACCGGGTGTGGTCTGCCGTCTCTTGGTCCGTCCGACTGGCGATCAAAGGTCGCTGCTGCCAGGTCGGGCCGGGGCGGAACGCCACGCGCCGCTGGCCCAGTTTGTGACACAGCGTGCGTCATGAACTCTGTCACTGACAGCTGGCTGACTGACACCGGCGAGCTGACAGAACGCGTACGGTTATTGTCATCGGCTTGTATGGAGTGCTAGGTTTAGCAGTTCTGTATCTATGTTGTTTGGCTTTATTCTCCGTAGGTATGTTGTGCTCTGTGAGAAAGTAGGTCAGGTTGAATCGATAATGATCCGCTGTTTTCTAACGCTATCGGCCACTCCTTCCCCGGTGAATCAACCAACCCCGTTCTAGTGAACCAACCATCATTGTTCCGAGTTCCATTGATCTTTGGTCAATGTGTTCACCGCCCGCCAAATGTCTCTCCAAAGTCCCATGTAGGCTCACACCCGCACCCGCGTTGCCATCGGGAAGCGTCCTCGACGGGCCGCCACTGGCACCGGTGCGGTGCGCGCTGGTCCGCGCGACCCGTGTCCTTGGTGGGCGATCAGAATCGCGGCCCGACCGCCGCGCGTCACGTGGGCCGGCCGGTTTCACAACAGGCCCGCCTGGGTGAGGCACGCTGGTGTGACAAGAGTCACGGCCACTGTAGTTTGTTCTCAAAGGGAGTAAAGTTACTGGCGGATACATGACTAGGCGCTGGAATCTGGATGGAAGTGGATAGGTAGTGTTGGTTTATTCAGCCATCATGTTGTCACGGGCCGATCGGTGCGCCGTGCGGTTTCGTTTCGTAGACTCTCTTTGTGTACTTATGACCCAGTTTGGTTATGATAAAGCTATCGTAGGTAAACGATGATATCGTGTATGTTTTCCGTTAAATTACTCCAGGGTTTTTAGCATTCTCTGACCAAAGTGGTCCTAATGCTCTGCAAAGCCCAGACAATCATTCTTTGCACCCAGTTCACGTTATGCTGGCGTACGAGAAAGTTGTTATCAGTGCTGATGCTGCGTGAGTCTAATGAGCCCACGTTGATTCCACTGAGGTTTCGGCACAAGGCCGTGTGCCTGGGTGGCCCAGTTGGCGGCTGCTCGCCATGGGACGGCCCCGTTCATGTCCGCCAGTTCTGCGAACTGCTGCGGGCGGGTGGCGGTCGGGTGGTAGCTCTGTGTGCCCTCAGGGTATCGATTAGCTGCGATCACCGGCGGACGAGGGTGCTGGTCGGCAGGTCACCTGAGGAGGCACCGTGGGGTTCTTTGTTCGCGGGGGGTATCCTCGGCGCTGTGGAACGCACTGACGGAAACTGCGGGGGAGGGGGAAATTGAGAAGGGCGATAGGTTACGGCGGATTAAGTTAAGGTGAAATTATAGGTGAGACATGTGTGATGTTCAGATTGACATTGCTAACGGTATGCGCTGGATGGAAAGGAAAAATCGTCGAACACAATGCTATCTCTGCAAATGCATGCGCAGTTTCGCATGCGCATTACCCATACCCCTCAAGTATTGTTTTATACACTATTTACGACTTTTAAGCGCTCTGTACGATTTTTTGTTGATTTTACAACAGTCATTTGTGTAAGTAACTTGACAGTTCAATTTCAAAGCCGGAACGATCCTGCACATGCTATTTCTTGATATTACGCGTCTTTGTCCCCACCGGAATACAAATAGGGGAGAGTGGGGCACATTCGTGCAAAAAATGGATAAACCCATACATCTGTTCTTTGGTTAGTGCAATGGCAAAATTGTTGATTGTAGTATGGAAAGGAACTATTGCAGATAGTTTTCCTCTTTAAAAGTTATCCTATAAAATTATTGCTTCCATTAGAAAAAATGACTTTTATTAACTCTGAACATTTGCACGAAACTGCCCCACCTATGGGGCACATTCGTTCAAGAGATGGGGCACTTCCGTTCACCCGGCAAAATTCGAGAAATTACCGGGCATTACCAGAAATTTACCAAAGGAACTTGGCAGGGGGTCATTTCACTTGATTCCTTTCGACAAGAATGCATTGCACAACAAATGTAGAAAGAATGGGCTGGCCAACAAGAATGTGCCAACTGCCGGCCTCCGTGACCTCGCCAAGTTCGCGTGAATTGCTCGTCACGACGTCGCAAGCAGTCGAGACTGAGTCAGGCGAGCGTCATTAGAGAAACCTACTACAGATAAAGTCATAAATCGCAAAAACTAAAAAAAAAAAATATGCACGAATGTGCCCCCAGGCAGTGCGTACACGAACCTGCCCCACAACGTTATTAGTAATATATTTCAAAATTTCTTTTTTAAAAAATGACACTTTTTCAACAAACAAGTTTGCAGCAGTTCCGTGAATAGAGTGGGCTTCTTCACCCCCAATTTTGAAAAGCTGAACCACATTTCCGAGTCAGGATCACGAAAATGGATGATATGAGAAAAGTTTGGAAAGCTCACGAATATTACAAATTTGCGTTTTTATCAAGCATGACAGCAGGTACAGTGTTGTCTTCTACGGTGAACGAAGGGCGGCAATGATAGACATATTTCCATAATTTACCTTGAGCTCGTGCAGTCACTCGTGTTCCCATAAACTGCTGAAAACGAATGTGCCCCATGCACGAATGTGCCCCACTCTCCCCTACCTACTATCAAAGTGCTTATCTGCAAAACAAGCAGTCACTCAGCCGCGTGGTGGGACGGCTGTATGATAAGTGAGCCACCTTTGTTTGCCCCACCGTCTGATCGCCTATCTGCACTCTGCTGGGCACAGGCCACTTGGCTCGCTTCCTCTATATCACCGTTGTCAAACACCGGCTCGCTGTTTACAGAGGGCCTAGCCAGAATGTGTCCTATCTGACCTTTCTGCGAGCTGGTCGCTATCATAGAGTCTAGTCCGGGACCTTGTGAGTTTTCACGTTCACGGAGTGTTCATTTTGCTTTCCCTTCGTTTGGGCTTGCATTGGGCTTGCCGTTCGCCTTGCTTCTGGGCTCTGTCGCTTCTTCGTCTGGTCTTCTCTTCCGTTGTCTGTCGACCGCTGGGTCTGCTGGGACCATTGACATCGCGCTGGGGCTGTCAGCGCTACCTGGCCAACTCATTTGGCACAGCAGAGGTGTCATTTGACCTCTGTAACGGTACCGGATGTACCCTTTGTGACGGTAGCTGGCTTACCTTTCGTAACGGTATCTGCTGTACACTCCGTGACGATGTAAGTGTATCCGTATTGATGGTGTCCTTCAGATACCGAATTTCCTCTCCATCTCTCTCCCACTTTCTCCCTCCCTCATCCCCCTTTCTTCTTGCTCTCTTGTTTTCCAGATTCCACTCCCCGTCTTACATGCACAGCGGCCTGACCTTTCTTCGGTTCAAGTCCAATTTTCGAACTGCTATTATTGGTCACAATTGCAGGTACCGTGTCAAATTCCATAGGTCCTTAGGTTTTGAATATTCATTTCTGGGGGCACCGGTGGTTTTGTTTTTTACCTATTTTGGAACTTCCTGGTCCAACTCATTAGTCCTGGCCGCAGTGACATCTAAAGCGTGGACCGTTAGGGACACCTATCTCTCGTCCTTGGTCCGAATGATGCGGACTGTGAAGTCTGTACTGTCGGGGCCCATTCCATCTCGAGTTGTGGCTCCAGACATGACCTGATAGCCATGTGAGACTGGGAATGCAGCGACGTATTCCACCAGATCTGGGCACTGCATTGTGTTAAACATTGCTAGTGGTCTTAGACCAGGCTGAGATTAGTATTGTTGAATGACAGACTTTGTTAAATGACAGTCTAGTAAAACATTGAGACCTTAAACGGCCACTGTTGGCCGTTGATTAGTTTTGTTAGTGTCGTCTCCGCACCTGTGACCCCTAATGGCTAGTGACATTGCATCACTGTGTTGCGATCTGGTAGGACCCTGCTATGGTCTGCTGAACGTGCTGTTACTCTCCGTGTGACGTGTGTCGATCGTCTTTTTGGCTGTGTAAGTGTGTACTGATGTCATGACCGTACACTGATCGCACTCTGCGTAGATCTTTTGTTTGACTTTGATCTTATTTGACCGCGCTGTGACCCCCCAAGTGACCACTTTGTGACAGTACCGTGTCCGTGACCCTATGTGACCTTGCTGTGACATTGTGTTGTTCTCCGTTGCAGACGGCGCTGAGCATGTTCTTCCAGGAGGCGGCCGTGTCCTGCAGCACAAGCAGTCGGCAAAACAGCTTTCAAATGGTGAGTCCGTTTTGCTTCTGTGGTGTGTTCTACCTTTCTGGCAGGTCTCTCGGTCCTTGATTGTAGTAGTATATGCCCCTGAGCTTCGTGACAATAATATTATTTTTGCAACCAGACTTTCGTATATTCTGCTTCACTGTGTGACATGTTATTTTTCCCGAGTTCGAAAACTGAATCGTTTGAAGTCCGAAGACAGCCTCAGGCAAAGGCCCTGTTACGGCAGCATACTAGCGTGTTCTGGAGGCTTGTGACTCAATCCAGCCTCGTGTGTCCCTGCCTGGCCAGTTGTCCTCCAATGGCCGGATAGGTCGCGTCGTGGTCGGCGGCGCGGGGGTCGGCTGACCACTCGCTGACCGCGTGACCTCGGGCGGTCGTCCGTCGGTCGATGGCGCTCAGCTGACGGTCCAGCCGTCGGTCGCGCTGCAAGGTCGTCTCGTGACGCTGCTCGGGCTCTGTTCGAGATTTTGCGACCAAGATCTCGTAGTGGATTGGATGTAGTTTTAGGTCCTTGGATTAGCTTACCAAATTTGTTTCCGCAATCAGTTGGTCCTACCATCCATTCCATCCATCTACCATTCATTTAGTGGTAGTGTCATGTTGTTTTGCATGTAGCCTTTTCCATGAACAGCGTTTCTTTTTATGTCGCCTGACGCCTGTCGTGGCTGACATGGGCACTGAGCGAGCAGTGGAATCGGTTGGCGGTTGAGGCTGGCGAAGCTCGCTGTAACTTGGTGTGGTCCTGTGACCCTTCGAACGAGCTTTGCCCGGTGGAATCCGGTGGAGCTCGGTAGAGGCTGGTGGAGCAGTGTGCCGTGTTATTTGGGTCGCTTATCGTGTTCCCAGTATCGATGTCCGCTCGCCGGTATCGCAGCGGAGTCGATACGGACACCGCCTCCGGTGTTGAGCTTAGCTTTTTGAGCCGGGAGTCCGTCCGACGCAGCAAGCTAAACGGCTGTGCGCTGTGCAAGGTCCCTTTGTGCACTGTGCAGCTACACGGGGACGTCCTTGAATCGCACTGTCGATTATTGATGGGCATAAATAAATACCTAAGCTAGAATATTATCAGCCGCTTTGCCGCACCACGTTTTTGGCCGTAGGTTATTCCTATGTCTTCTCTTTGTTTCCTTGCATGCTTCTTTTACGCCTTGCGACGAGTCTGTCTCGTTTTCGATGGTAGTCTTCAAATAACATGGGCTGTTTGCCTTGGCATAGTGTTTGTTGCCACTTTTCCTATCCCATCGAATATCGTTGTTCAAATATTCTTCTTTCCTGTTTGTACGATGGCTATACGGTTTGCTAACGTCAATATCCTTGATGCCATGGCTCCTCGGACCTTTGAATCAATGCGGCTGTGTGCGATTGATTCTGACTAGTCTTTTGTCACATGCCAACGGCTATAAAAGGGCAGGAATTTCACATCAAGTGTAACAAATGTAAAAAGTAAATAAACAATGTCTTCTTCTGTGATAGTCTGTTTGGGGACCTCTTGTTCGAGCCGTATAACCAACACGGTTTTTCTTTTCTTGAAGTATGTATTGCAAATTTGACGACAGAATCCAAAAGTAATAAACAGTCGGCCGAGACTTTGAATAACGATACGTCAGGCCGCTACGGCGGTTGGCTTTCGAATCCATCTTTCACAGCTCCTGCTCGGCGTTCGGCGTCGGCCGCTATATTGAAACGTCATACACACACGTCATACATATAGATGTACGTCATATCATAGCACCAATCAGAAGCGGGCTAGGACAGGCGTCGCAGGTGAGGAGTGAGGACCATATAAGGATATTGTAAGTGGGCGAGGGGGCTGGGCAGTAAGTAGGTACAGAGGGAGGTGGAGGACGGGGTAGGAACGAATTTCGTTACAACACAACGCGAGGTCCTTAAAGCTGAAATTTTGACCAAAATTTTCGGCTTGGGATACTCCTAATATGATGCATGATATAACGTACACAACACACGACACAACACAAACAACACCTAACACAACAATATACACAGCACCTCAACACACAATTTCCCGTTCTTTTTCGTTGTAGTCCTCGTAGCTATAAGTCTATAGAGTCTTCTTCATTGTCCGCTTACGAAACATAGTCTACTGTCCCACTCGTGCTCATCGATTCGGTTCTCGCTTCGCAATCACTGGTAAAATTCCGCTGCGGGCACATCAGTTCAGGGAGTTCAGAGAGTTCAGAGGGTTTAGGTCACCTTTGACGCTGCTGTCTGACACGTGTTTGTCCGTCCATTGTCCATTGACACCAGATCGTGTGTCAGATATTGACACATTGACGTTCTCACGTCTCGCGTATTGTTGTGGGTCGTCCGTCCGGTGTCGGCTGACCAGACCACTCGTCAGCGTAGTTTTATCGGGGCGCCCGGACGTGGGGTGTCCGATGCGGGGCGGCCCGATCTCAGTGGCGCTGACTAGCACCGGCGGCGGCTCGACCGAGTGTGGGAGCGCCGCTACTGGTACCTCTGCTGCGGAGAAAGAACTCCCCTGGAAAATATTTGCATCAGGCATCTGCGGATTTCTGAGAAGCGAGGGTTGGAGACGGTTTTAACCATTTTAAGCACGAGGGACTTGGGTCCGTGAGTTTTTCCCGGGGCTTGATATTTGGAGCTACACTTGACGTTTCTTCAACAATAACGCTGTCAGGGGCAGGATTTTGAGCGGATACTTTCTGGGGTCGGATCATAATGGGTTTAAACACATGACATCGGACGTATAGAACAGTTAATAGCACTAACGCAACCACAATACACGTTGTGACCGAGATGGCGGGGATAACGACAGTTTTATTATGCTGCGCATTGCGTACTCGAATCTGTTGAATATGTTCCTTCAAGTTAGACAAATGGACACTTTTGTCCTGAAGTGGGGGAATGAAGTTTACGGCTTCGGGGAGTGAAACATTAGTTTCCGAAAGATCAACAAGTACCGCATTTGACCAAGTATCTATTACAATGTCAATAACTTTTACGCTCTGGTTAAACTCAGCAAAAAGCTGAATTGCCTGGTCACTTCGCAATTGTTGGCGGTGCTCTGCAAATATACTACTGACTTTACTTTTAAAGAGCGTCACATGATGCTCTAACTTCAATACAAACGTCCATGATGTCCTGGTTTCGATGGGGATGTGAAGAGTCCAGTGGTCGTATGAAGCGTAGAGATGGCCTCGGGGCAGGAAGAGAACGTTGGCCGTTGTCGGAGATGTCAGATAGAACAGGAATGTCAGGAAGAACGGTCTTGCCCACATCTCTGGAACACACACAAACAACTATCAACATTTCGCAAACATGAGGTTAGTACACGAACAATTGAACGGTTCACTGACCGAACGTAAAATGAACAACACATAAATGGCTGTGGCATACTAGCCAGAGTCGGTATATCATTAAACACAATACAACGTGGTACCGCGATTACGTTGTCTTCGGCATACAAACCGGGATCCATATTCTATATAAACACTATAACACCATACAGCCGTTCAGCCTTCATCGTACTAGCTGGGTTCCACAAAATACTGTAGACATTCGGCTGTCATCCGACCTGTAATAACTCAGTGGGCCGGGGAACCTTTTTACATTTTTTCTAATTGTTTGAACATGTCGGTCATCAACTTCTCATGCGTTTTCAGCATCTTAACTAACATGGCTTCTTTCACACGTGGGTTAGTACACATTTGCTCCTTTTCAATATGTACACCATCGGCGTCCAATTCGTCTGAATCCGATTCGTGGTCTTGGTCGGCACATTGTAATTTTGAAGGAGGGCTACGCGCTTCTGCATCCATGTCGTTCGACTCTGATTCTGTACGGGTGAGTGGTCTTTTCATAGGGGTAGGTTCAACTTCGAATGGATCAGATAACTTTTCCGTTCTCAGGCGCTTTGCTAATTGGGACAAAGGAATATTCTCGTCGTCAGAACTATTGTCTTTCGATTTTTCTTCTCTCCATCGTTTTCGCATTTCGGATAACGGCACGTCAAGATCTGCATCGGAATCAGAATCTTCAGGTAAAGGTGGGTAATTTTGTTCACTCGGCGACGGTTTCGCTGGAGCGTAAGTTTCAACAGCGGTTGATATCGAACTGGGGGTTGAATCACGAATAGACCGATCTGTGACTGTTTCAGTATTATGCATTTCTGTATCAGCGAATGAGAACTTTGATTGACGTGGAGGCTGCACACGAAGTGGAACCGGGATAAACGACTTCTGTTTACTTTCGTACTTGCTGTTGATATGATGTGGTTCTTCTGTCACGTTTTCCCAAAGGGTATCTGGATCAGCGAATCTCAAATTATGAACGTTCACTACTTTGACATCGCCAGACAGCTGGTTCTTAATGACAAAGGTTACGTCGTTGATGGCTTTGATAACGCGGTAAAAAGGTTTCCAATGGCACGACAGTTTGGAAGCATTTTGAGTCGCCTCTGTAGGGTTTCTGAAATAAACCATATCACCGACTTTGATTTTCGTTGGCTTGGCGGTACGATCGTAATAAAATTTGTTTCTCTCATGACTTTGTACTAGGTTGTGACGCACATGACTGTAGGCAGAATGCATGTTTTCGAGCATGGTAGGTACGTAATCTTCACCTTGGTAACGATATTTTGGAGATAAAATGCTATCGAGTGGTAGAACAGGGTCACGACCGTAAAGAAGGAAGAAAGGGGAATACTTGGTAGTCTCGTTTTTCGCGGTGCGATAAGCAGACAAGATTGAAGGAAGCTTTGTGTCCCAGTCACGTTGAGATTTACTCACTAACTTTGCTAACATGTCGTTCTGAACTCTATTATATCTTTCGCATTTGCCGTTCGATTGCGGGTGGTAAACGGAAGTTCGGATATGCTTAATGTTGCTAAAAGTTGTAATTTGGTCTATGACGGCGTTACAAAACTCTGTACCGTTGTCTGAAATCATAATCCTAGGACAAGCATGGCGAGGGATGATATGTTCCAATAAAATTTGAGCAACCGTTTCTGCACTTTTTGATGA